ACAGTTCCTGAGAGTTTGTCAATAAGAAGAGAATTTGGAATTCAATACATTACGTTTCAACGTAATTGATCGGTTGACCTATTTTATTTTAGAATAACCGCGACATGAAACAGAGTATATGATTACCTATCGGATTAAGTATCCCTGATAATCGATACAATTATCAATCGGTACGATCTATATCCGAAGATTCCGCGTTAATAATTTCAGCCCGTAACCGATCAGCCGTTAAGAAGCAGCCTGTATCGCTAAATTCCTCCGCAGGAAGTTGTTCGAGTACCATATGGTGGTTGGAGCGAAGAATAGCGAGGGGGCGCGAGTGGCGGAGGGGGATGGCCGCCGCTAAAAGGGTAAACGTTGTAGGCTGCCGCGGCAGATTTCGGATAAAACAACTTCTCCATCCATCTTGCTCTCCGGGCGTCCCTTCGTCGGTCTCGTTCATCGACGCAGCTCGATTCGCTCGACGGATACGCATGCCGAGGGTTCGCTGGATTCGTGAGCACGTGCGCGCGGGCGCGCTCAAACCCACGATTGTTCGTCAGTATCAACGACCAGCAGGATGTACCGAAGGGGATAATTAAACTTCCCGGAGAACGCGCTCACGAGCGGCGCTCTTGCCGGAATAGCTTCGAGAGTCAATAGTATCTCTATAACCCTCGACGCGTCTGTAAAGATGTCTAGATAGGGAAAAGGGTGGAGCCTTCGAGGGTCGACGGAGGCAGAGGGACAGCGATCTAGGATCGCGCGACGGGAAGGAAATTACCTACGAATATTTAATTATAAATTTGTCTGAGAGAAAGAGAGAGGGGCGAGAGAGGGAGAGAGAGAGAGAGGAGTCGGTCTCGACAGAATTCGCTTGGTCTTGTTCGTGCATCGCGTAATCGGTTCAAGTGGATGCTTTCGACGCGATTATATCGGCGACCGAACGAGCATGATGCTCTTTGACGTCGCGGTTGTCGAAACGACGCGGTTTTACGAGCATTGGCAGTTGTCGAAGCTCTTCGCGGCTACGCCCGCGCGGAATCTGTTAAGAAGCCTGGAACGTTGCGATTACGGTAAATCTGTTTTGTACACGGGAATATTTTCCGCGGGGTTGCTCGCGATTCGTAACGAAGATTCGAGGACCGCCGGATTTATCTTCGCCGAACGCTCGTCTTCACGAGGGTCGGTTGATTATCAGGGATATTTAATCCGATGGAGGTAATTATATATTTCGTTCCATCTCGTAGTTATTCTAATGAAAAGCTGATCCTTCGTTCGTTTCGATGAACGGTAAACGATGTAACGCTATTGATTCAACGCCAATCTCTGTTCATCGTACAATAATCGTCACACGATATTACTAATTATACGTTACTCATAATTAACACGCATCGGGTAACACATGGATGTTTACAGATGAGACCGTAATAGCTCCTGTGTTACCATTTTGGTTGGATACTCCACTGAACAAACTGTACATTCGCAACGGGGTGATTAAACAAGACGCGGTTCTCGTTAAAAAAGAATCGGGAGAGACTCTAACGAGAACAAGATTTACGAACGATTTCATAAAGGAAAGAGAGACCTGTATTGCCTCGGTAAAAGCCGCTTTGTTTGCCGTTCGCGCGTCATTGCCGCCTTTCTTGTATTACACCCACGTTTTCACTCGGCGCAGTTCGAATAGTTGGCTGTCTACGCATTAAGCCGAGTCTAAAGCCTGATTTCCAAGAATATCTTTGGAGTTGTTAGACCGGAGACTTGTTTCTGCGAACGAGGGGAAACTGGAACCAACCAGTTGCTCTAATTATACGTAGCTAACTAATCGTTACTCGCTGAAACGATAGCGGCGCTTAAATGTAGACCAATGCCGGAGAAGGACAAGAGGGAAGTAGTTCCCTCAAAAATTTCTTCATTCCAACGGGAAGTTTTAAGGGTTACACTTTTCACACACTTCGCGTCCCAGCGCAGTTCGCTTCTTAATAAAAGAAATACACTTTCCTCCAATTCCTATGTTTAAAAGCCGGTCTATAGAGACACGAATTTGCATAACAGTCCAGAAACTCTAAGTTTCAACTCTTCTGACTTTCCGCAGCTCGAGCGGCACCTCGTTTCGCGGATCTTTCTTCGGCCACTTCCGCGAGCAGAATGGAAAGCGGTGGAAATCGAAAGTACGCCATTCGGCTGACTCGATTTCCAACCATATCGAACTGGCTCGAATCTGGCCGACGCGATCTTCGATCCTAAATCGTAAATACGGCTCCTCGACAATTCATCGCTGCGTCTTCAGGTTTCGGCGTACAGCTCGAAAGCGCGTGCGCGCTTATTCAACCCCCTACTCGTACCGGCGAGGGGTGACGTTACACGTGCGCTACCGTCTCTGTGCATGTGTGTGTGTGTATGTGTGTACGTGTCTGTCGTCTACGGAGGCTGTACCGAAAACTTCTCGCCGCGATTCTACTCGCCGGTGAATTAATTCGTCCGCGTACGACGTCGCGCGCGTTTTACGCGGACCGCCGCCTTTCCCGCCGCGAAACCGAGAACAGCTGAATGATTAACCCTTTGCACTCGAGAGACGACTCTCAGTCGTCGCTTGATTTGATATAAAAATTCTGACGCTTGATATTTCGTATTAAACTTTGTATTATGTACAGCGAGATACTAAAATAAAATAGCTTCAATTTAGTTTCAGAAAATATCGTCCGTACCTTATCAGAGAGTATTAAATATTCCTAGTGAAAAACTTTCGAATACAAACGGTTGAGGCGCAAAGTATCCATTAACTGTATCGCAGTTGGCATCTTTAAAGTTATACTCTATCGCGCGAAGTCACGAGAATTTCGATTGATCATCGAATGTCAGATGACAAGGTTCCCCCCGTGGAACCAAGTAATTTTCTCGATGGAACCTTAATTAGCCAACGCTCGAGCCACCGCAATCCTATCAATAAATTTCCCGATCGCTGCGTTGTATTAAAGGCCAGCTTATCAATCTTTCTGACAACGGGCCAAAAAGTTGCTCGAAATCTTAGCTCGTGACTGGTTAGTTCTTGAAAGGCCGCCCATAAGTCGGGGCCGTTAATACGATCATTTTTTCAAGGTTAATATTAATCCTTGGCTGGCCTGGAGACTTAGCCGTCGCCGAGGCGAGGGTCGTCGGCTCGGCTAGGGGTTAGTGTACGCACCACCCGCGTGGCGGCGTTCCATTCTGGGTTTCCTGGGTTTCCACGGGGCAGGGAGGGTTACGAAAAGTATCGCGGCGCAAGCGCGGAACACGGCTCCGTGGAGGGGACGTTCAGTGTCATTCGGTGCCGGGCGTTGCGGCGCCGTGGCTCTTCAGTCTTTGATCCGCAGCTGGCGCGGTTGTGTACGTTGCCCTCGAGCGTACTCGAGCAGCCTCGAGACGAGATCGTTTTCACTGGTCGTGCGCGAAGAGGGGAGAAAGCCCCGACCCGGTGGTGCAGTAACCTTTCAGCCCTCGCGAAACGCGGTACATCCTCGTGCCGCGTGACCGGAAGTAGCGGGTGCGCGGCGGTCTCGCGATCTCTCCCAGCCCCCTCGACCCACAATCTCCGTCAGGGAACTTTGCCGCTGTTACGGCTGAACCTTGGAGGTCTCTCCGTTCGCAACCGTCCGAAAGGGTTGCGTTCGCTTCCGTTCGCTTTCGACGAAGGTGAACGACCAAGACCGCCGGTCGAACGGTTCCGCGAGCGTTACACCGTTCGCCGAGAATTCAGGACCGGTCGCAGGTTCGCGGCCGAGCGTTCCTTCACCCCTGGGATTCTCGGGGCACGCAGCTCACGCTCAACCAGCACGAATTTGCGTGCGGTTCCCGGCCCCCTGACCCAATTAGTTCTCGTGTCGAGAGTGTCTGCGCATAGCGCGGGGACGTCCAACAGCTAGTTACCGCTGCTGAACGAATTGCCTCTGTCAACGGGACCGTCCACGCAGTTGTGCACGTGAAACATTGTGTTAACGAGGCTCGTTAACTTGCCGCGAGGGCGAGAGAGGGATACAGAGCGGAGGACAGACGGATAGAGGAAGAGGGTTTTCGGAACGAGATTTTCGGAGTTGGTGAGCGACAGTGGTCCGTGTGAAAGTATCGTCCAGTGTTTACAGTGTTTGCAGTGCGCCCGGATCCGAGGATCGAGGTGACCCGATCGAGATATACCGAGCGTCGACAGGCAGGATATATCGGAGAGGACTGTCGCGCAACAGTGAACCCTCGAAGAGCATCGCTCGCGGGCCGGGAGGGTTGAACTTTCTCGCTGGCGTTGACAGATCGATAACAAAGTTTGCGTACGCGAGTTTCCCCTTTCGTAGCCGGCGGCTAGTGATACGAACCGCGCGCGCTCACTCTTTCTCGAGCTTTGGAATGCGCCTACGTTCGCGGTGACAGTCATCGTTGACCCAAGTGTCCTTACGCGACCTGCTCGCCGAGTCATATCAATAGTCAATCGATGACCGAAGTGTCTCGCTACCGATGTAATCGGTGAACAGACCGTCAATTCGTCTTTTAGAGATCGAAACATCACGGGGATCGTTCGTTTGCTACCAGGGATCGAAAAGGAGGCAAGCTGAACTAACGATTCATCGTACCCTTGTGATCGAGATCGATAACTGCCGGGATTCCTGAAGACATCGAATCGCTTATCTTTAAGATACCGAGGACCAATAGAACAATCTCGAATCAATTACACTCTATTCTAAAGAATCTTAAGAACAATCGTTGAATCTCTTGGTATCAAGGACCAAGCGTCCAACTCTGTTATCCTGAAATCAAACGATCCTCTTGTCAGTACCAACTAACCAACACCTACGGACCGTTCCATCGATCTTCCAGTCTCGAGTCTAGCAGACTCCGGAGCGGCCTTCGAGGCGGCAGGTTCCTCCGACTAAATCCCAGCTGATGGTGACATGCTGACGTGCTAAGGGTAAAATTGAGGAGTAGTGATCAAAGTGTTCCTAGTCTTTCTATGCGGGTCTCGAACCCTCCGCAAATCTGACGCCCCGTCGCTCCAGCGAGCGAGGCAGCCTGTCGTTGTCGTTGCCTTGCAAGCGGCAATACCTGGTGAAATACAAACGGAAGGAGGGCAGGCAGGCCGAGGAACGGGGCTCCGCGTGGCCCGGTCTCTCCGACGATCGTCGTAAAAAGTGTGCAACGGTGAAGGGTAACGGTGGATTCGGCGACTACTCGGCCGCGGGCGAGTTCGAGGTCTGGGGCGACGATCAGCACGCGTCGGATGGTGTAGATCGCCAGGGGAGGCCGCCTTCGCGGCAGCAACGATGCGAAGGCGGTTCGTCGCTGAGACCGTTGCTACACGTTACCCACCACTGTGAGCTCCACTCGCCCCGCGAGCCCGAGCTGCTCCGGCTGGACCATCTCGAGGCCCTCGAACACAAGTCCGCCGACCACGATTCCTACACCATGATGGAGAACTTTCGCAGCCCCGTGCCGCCGCCGCTCCCGCGACGCCACGTCCGGTAAGACGATCATTTCGATTTTCAACATTTCGGACCGATGAACTCCGTCGGATCGCGGTTCCAAATTTGTGATGGGTTTTTGTAATCGCGATGATTATGGTATCACTTTCTGTGAGAACGAAGCATTCGTGCAGGAGTGACGTAGGTTCTCTTTTAGAGCACCGATCGTTAGCTGTTTTAGGGGATGATTCTGTTGAGGAGATAAAGTGGAAATGTTGGATCCTTTAGTTCGTATGTTCTTGGTATTCTGGTATTTCTGTTTGGAAGTTGAAAAAGATGAGCTGTATTATATTAAGCGTCAAGGAAGTTGACTGGAACGGTGATAGTTACTCGGTGCACGTGGAATGCAGTCGATATTCCGAGACATTCTGTATGCTTGAAGTTTCACTGAATTTCCGAGTCCCTCTCAAAAATTTCTCAATGTTCTATACGAGACCGTGGCGGAAAATAATCAGGAGTGCGGAGGGTTAAAGTGGCGCATTTCCACTTTACTCGCCGCGCCGAAGGTTTCCCTCTTCACCCTGCGAGGATCCAAGTATCGGCGACCCGCAGGAATTGCGGTAAATTTTCTATTTATTGGAAAGTTGATTTCTCCGAAGACTTTCGTCGCTTCGAGCCAGGGTTTGTTCGATAATCAACTCGTTCGACTTTTCATCGCGGAATTGAATCTTCCGCTGTATTTGGCGACTGAAGTTCTCTTGATTCGGATCGCTTGATTGAAATCGATGATACCTTAAAGCGATCCTCGACGTTTTAAACGTTCGCGAAGAGTCAACCGTGTTTCAGCCGTGAATATTTTATCTCGCTTATTATAATTTCAAGCCGTTATCTTGATGCTTTTCGCTAAGCATTCTCGATGACCCTTGACGTCACACTTAATAGTTCGTTTCGGGCTCGCGACACGTATTATTCATACCGTTTGTTCTCTCAAATTACCCTCGGGGTTTCTCCGGCAAAAGAAGAGCTCGTCGATTAAAGTACACAAGAATGTGTATCGTCACTCGCCGAAGTTCACCGCTGAAAAAGCAAACGGAATAAAGAACGACATCTAAAAAGAGGCCATCCCCAAGAGGAAGGGGTCGCGAGCCGTTGAAGCAGCGGCGTCAACAATTAACCCTGAATATTAATCGGCAATCCCGTCCGCAACGAAGCTGATTATTTCACTCAATTTATCGACTTATCCGTATGAAACCCACCAATTGCGGTGACACTGACGAACGGCTCGTAAATAAATAGGACTGTCACAATCAGCCCGCGCCATTTTCCCTCGGAACGTTGATTCTCCGCAGTATCGACATCTTGGGAGCTAGCTGTTCCCTTTCAACGTCCAACTCGGAATTAGACAACACGGTGGAATCGAGGGTGTTTTAATAGCGTCTCATTGTTTCCCCAAAGATGCTGTTTACCAGATTCTTCTCCCGTATCAAGCGGATGAACGCAGGATAAATGATCGGTAATTGAACGAGCAGGCCGGCAGTCGAACCGATTGGCCCGATATCGATAAGTTTCCCGTCACTGTGGACTCTCTCTCTCGGATCGGGCACGGCGCAATAACGCCGCTGCCAAACCCCTCGTTCAAAGGGGGCATATCCCCCGTTAGTTCCAAGTTTTCCGTTTCGAATCAGCGCGTTCCCATCGAACACGAATCGATTCCGAAATGCTCTTGAGAGCAGGCTTGTCATTAACCCCGTTCTTCGGGCGTGAACCCCCGAAACGAGCTACAATTCCGGCGTGCGAGCCACCTATATTGGCCTTCCAGCAGTCTCGCGGTCCCCCGCCCCCGAATCACCCTCATTCCTTTCTCTCGCCGCCTCACACTCCTGTCTTTTCTCGTGTCTCTCTCTATCTTCCGCTCACCGCGGGACAAAATCTTGATCGTTCGAACATTTACCGCGCGAACGAAGTGGCTCGTTCATTCGACGATCGGTCGTGCTCCTCGCAGACTTTCCTCCGCATCGCGGATTTTTACAAACGATTTTATTCGTGATAACGTTTCAACTGCAAACGCTTCTACCCAGTAGCTCAACGTGTCAAAGGAGCTCTTTCCGCTCTGCTTTCCACATACGCGACGGGTAAATTAAAAAATTGTGTTTGTGCGTCGGCAGACGTAAAAATCTTTCGTTTATTGTGCTTCGGTGAAACTCGTTGCGAAGAGTATGAACGAATTTCCTAATGTGACAAAATGTTCCTCAAATTTGATACCCGGCTGAACGTGTTTCCTTTCGTTCGTCAGTGTCCGAACGCGAAGGATCATCGTTCCGACACGGTTAAAACGCAACGCCAGATTCCCTAACCCTGTCCCAGAAATTTCACGCGAAACAAAGCTGCCCTCGAATAAAAGAAGAATTTCAGAAGAGTTTCGCGAACTTTTATGAACTCGAAGCCCTCGGTGGAACGTGTCGAGAAAGTGGGCCGCGGCGGAGAGTTAACGCCGCCAGAGAATTTAAATCTTTCGCCCGTACGAACCCGATAACCCCGCGCGCGCCTAACCATCCCCGATAACGTGTGAGAACAATAAGACGCTTATCCGCGGCGTTCAAGATAAGAAGCCCTCTCTATAGAGCTCGCGGGCGCGCGGCCGCAGACACCATCCGAGAGGTATATCGGAGCCGATGGTACGGGGAAGAGGTAAGACAAACAGAGTGATACGCTGGTGGCGAAACCCCCTCGAAGCCTGTTTCGAAGTATGAAACGAAGGGGCGCATTTGCATCGGCGCAAACACGGAAATCCCCGTGCAACCTGTTTGCCGCGCGAGAACTTCAAGAGAATGTTGATGGAAGACTGCGTTCCGGCTCGTAAATACGATTCCGGTTCAATCGGCCCACTTCGATCCGATTAAAATCGTCGTTCGGGTAAATAAGGAGCGACGAAAGAAACCGGAGACCGCTCGGTAGGCTTTGAAAATCAAACTCGCCCGTCGCACGCTACGCCGGACTCATCGGAAACGTATATTTAACTTCTCGCGTTATTATTTATCCAGCAGAACCCTCCAAATATATTTCATCTAAGTTTCAATTCTGGCACAGATTCGCGGGCAGAGGTAAATGTAACTGTTCCGCGAAGGGAGAGCACGACAGTTAATGGAATAAATGAATAGATTAAACATCATTTAATCAGTACCCGCTTCCGGTTATCAGATGTTTTCGGTGGAACTTTCCAGAAGGTGTAATGAAATATTAAAGGGAACTTTAATTTGAAAATCGAGAAGGAATGTCTAGACTGCGGAGCAGCCTAGGAGCGACATTGCTAACCCAGACCCAAAGAGTGAGAAGAAATCGAGGGGAAGACAGAGAGCTAGAGGGATGAAAGTGAACGAGCGAGGAAGATGAAACAACGCTGCCAGAGAGAGGAAAGTGAATGAGCGCGGGAGGAGAGACAGCACGGCGAGAGAGGAAAGCGGACGAGCGAGGGAGAGGAAAGTGAACCAGCGAGGGAGGAACC